AAAAATTTTTTATTGATCTTATAATTTTATTCTAAGACATCCGAACACCTACAAAAAAAAAATAAAAGACAATCCCCCCCCACCATCCAACAGATTTGCCCACATTCACCCAGTCCCACCCTTCCGCCCTCTGGTCATCATCACACTGTTATCTGTGTCTATGGGTTGTGCATACATGTTCTTTGGCTAATCCCTTCACCTTTCATCCAATCCCCCCACTCCCCTGCCCTCTGACAGCTGTCGGTCTGCTTTTGTTGTTGCTTATGTTGTTTTTAAAGAGGAGATTCTTTCCTAAAGACACACACTGGTTCAAAGAGAAAAGGCTGTAATATACGTAACTGTTCCTGCTGGTGAGATAACTAAAACCATGGGGCTTGTCTGAACAGCTTTATGCAATAAGCATTGGAAAACTAAAAACTAGCAGGACTCAGGTGCATTTTCCTCTGGCCACTAAACACAAATACAGAAGTTCTAACTCATGAACAGCAAGGCAGTGTGTGCTGATAATCCTGACATTAAGGGTAATATGGAGATACTGAGCGGACATCATGGGGCTGGCCACTGACAGACAGGGAAAGTGCTCTATTTTACAGAAAACTAACAACCATGCAAAGGCTTTTGTTATTTACTGTATATCAAATCCAGATCGGTAGGGCATAAATGATGTTTCTGTCACCCGGTAAAGTGAACACAGATGACCCTTAAAATCCAGGGGGAGTTCAATTAGCAAATTCATATATTAGGATGCTTTCATGCTGCCATTGTCAGGTTTTTTGTTTGTTTTTTACAATAAAGTCTTCTGCCTTCAGTGGTCATCTATGATCTGTTTGTACTTCACCTTCCACTTCAAATAAACAGACCTTACTGAATAGGTTTTTTCTAAGACAATAGCTAGCTAAACTTCCCCATCTAACTCTGAAATATCAGTTTAAAACTGTACTGGTTGCCCTAGGTGGGTGGCTCAATTGGTTGGAGTGTCATCCCATACACCAAAAGGCTGTGGGTTCAATTCCTGGTCAGGGCACATTCCTAGGTTGTGGGTTCGAACCCCAGTCAGGGCACATATGGGAGGCAACCGAACGGTGTTTCTCTCTCTCAATCCCTTCCTCTCTCTAAAATCAATTAAAACAACAACATATCCTTGGGTGAAGATTTAAAAAAAAAAAGTAATGGTTATTTCTCTGTTTCTCTCTTAGTAACATTTCTAGACCAGTCGGGGGAATAAATATTCCCATACAGATTCCTTTAAGTAATTCAAAACGAAAACAGTTTATATCTTATAAGAAAGATGCTCATTCTTCTGGCGATCTGTAAACATGAACTATGAACTGTTCACACCTTTGGACTGACTGATCATCCCAATTTGGGAAAGATGTCATCTGTGGCTAGATGTTCACAGTCATCACAGACACTGGCCAACGACAGGGCTTGGCCTGCAGAGCTGTGGTTCATGTGCTTATGCATGTGGTTCGCGTCCTAACTGGATATAGTCACTCGGATAATGAGTCTGTGCAATAAAGACTATTGCAAATAAACCCGTGAACGAGGCGGATGAAGGAGTGGGCTGAAGCCAGATTACAAGAGGTGACCTGGGTAGGCATCACTTCCCAACTGTGCTTTAGTTACACCACATTGGTAGCTTGAAATCAGCTATGATAGTAGTATTTACACCACGGAAATCAACAAATAATACAAATCAGACCTTTTTTCTCCCCTGAAAAGCTAGTTTTTGAACATTTACTGCTTTGATGCAGGGATGTGTATTATAAATTTGAAAACACAGAACTCGAGCTAGCGTGTAGACACGGATTAGAGCTACATTAAAACACACAACTATATTAGGATCAGAAGCAAATTAAAGTGTTAGAAATGGAGCTCCATGCTTGGTAGATACTTTCTCTGTAAAGTCGAGTGACTAATTTAAGACAAAATCCTTTCACAGCCCTTGGTATGGTTCCAACTTCTAATGTAATAGAAAATAAATGTACCATGTTAGAGTCTACCACGAAAACAGTGATGGATGGCCCTGCCAGTGTGACTGACAATATACCAGCTCCCAAGGTAATAGGCTGTGTTGTTTGAACTCTATCTTTTGGGTGTGGAGGGAGTTGAAGTTCTTAATCCCTGTTTTTTTTACACTGATGATATTCATTAGAATAGATGGCAATAGGTCTTTTTTAGATTAAAAAACTAAGGATTAATTTTTCAAAACCCCCAAATTCCAAAGGTGTACACACACACACATACACACCTCTGTAAGCAAATGAAAAGAAGGTCTGAAAGTTCAACAAGACAAAACTTTTAAAAGTTCACACTTGAATCCGGAAGTTATAAAACAGTCATCAGTTTTCATAAGAAGGTAGTTGAAAAAACACACAACCTTAAATCTTCACAATTCACTTTCAGTCTTTCTTGCTTACCTAGCAGCCTCCTGAACATGATGTAATTTTTCAGAAAAGTTTAGAAGAATGGCGTCGTTCTTTTGGGCTTCCTGAAACAAAACCAGAATTTGGTCTCACTATAAAGATGGAACTGGAAGGAAATCATTTGCCCAGGCTTAAAGGAACCTTAAAATCACTGCTCCCATTTTTTACCCTTGATGCATTCAAAGCCATTCACTGAGACAGTAGCTCCGATGTTCCTAGCAAGATCTACCAGAATGCCAGGACTCTCACCATACATTTAACTTCCCAGAGCAACTGATGCTGACATGAAACTTAACTAATGTGCCTGAAAACTCAGGGGAAGGAGGTGGCGCCTTAGCAGGGACCATCGCCTCTCAGAGAATCCAATATCTCCTGTTTAAATACCACCCATACCTGTGAGTGTGCCTTTGAATGACTGAGATACCTTCGGCAGTTAAACCAGTTTGCAACCTGAGTTTAATCAGAAGGTGCCCAAGCCATGGAGACTCTGGATTCTTCACCTGTTCACAGAGTACGAGGAAGACGGGTATAAAGGGACCAATGAACAACTCGGGAAACTTCCCCACATGGGCAGGGACACAGGACACACCTGGATACACGGATCTAAAAGGGCTGCCAGAGAGTCCCTCCCAGCAAGACACCTGGGAGGAGGAACCTATTTTCTGGTTTTAATGTCCTGCAAATTAGCTTTTATATTAGTCCTAAGGTCAACATGGCCTCCACCTTCGGAAGACTATAGTAATAATTGAGAGCTTACTATATGGAATTACCTCTGTGAGCCCTCACGGTTACCTGGTTTTGAGGTATCACTATCCCCATCATTGGATGAAGAGATCCAGGGTCTTAGGTTTAAATAACTAAGTGGTTGGGCATCCACCTATGAACGAGGAGGTCACGGTTCGGTTCCTGGTCACATGCCTGGGTTGCAGGCTCAATCCCCAGTGTGGGGTGTGCAGGAGGCAGCTAATCAATGGTTCTCTCTCATTATTGATGTCTCTCTCTCTCTCTCTCTCTCTCTCTCTCTCTCTCTCTCTCCCTTCCTCTCCGAAATCAATAAAAATATATTTTTAAAAAATAATAAATGACTTGTCTGAGGGATTACAGCTCATAAATGACAAATCAAACTCTTTCAGTTCTGCCAACTCTCTCAGTTCTGCCCCGTCTGAAGCTCACACTTGAAATAATCACATGACAGCTTCCTCCCCAGGCTAAAGCTACGTCTCGCTGTATTTGCTGTCAAAACAACAAGGCCTTGCAATGAAGGAAAGACAAACCGGAACAATTCGTTATAATTTAACAACAAAGAGATAATTGTGCTGGGCTGATTTTTCACTTTGTAACTAGTTCCTTTGGCATCACAAAGACCCAGTCAAAAATGGAAGTGATGGCTCAGTTGGTTGGAGCGTCCTCCCATGCACCCGGGGGTTCGATTCCCGGTCAGGGCACATACCCAGGTTGCAGGTTCAATCCCCGGTCAGGGTGTGTGCAGGAGGCCACCGATCGATGTTTCTCCCTCACATCCAGTGTTTCTCTTTCTCCCTTCCTCTCTCTAAGTCAATATTTTTAAAAATGGAAGAGATGGGCAGGGTTCTGAGTCTAATCCCTGGGCTCACGGCAAGGCACGCTAACGCACACTTCACTAAGGAAAAAGATGGAAGTGATCTTTGTAATTGCTCTGACTCTCACGGTTTACACATAACTGGTCAAAAATCTAGTCAATTCAACATCAGAAATGTTTCAACACCCATCCCTGTGGCCATCACTCTGATTCTCAACTCTTCCAAACAATGAATTTGTGCCAACTGCCACCAAGAGGTACCCCTCGTTCTAGCTCTCGCTCCACTCCAACCCATCCTCCACCCTTTCCTCACAACAAAACAAAAAGCCATGCTGCACACACACCTCAGTTGGCTCCCCACTGCTAAAGCAAGCAATCCACATTTCTCAGCTTTAGGATCCAAATCCTTCATTATCTGTCTTCTTCAACCCTTCGCCTCACTCCCCAGACCCCTGCCCTCCCCTCCAGTCCGAGGACCGTGGGCGCAGCTCAGCTCACGTACTTGCAGACATGCTTCTGCACAGAGAACCTTCTTGGGACCCACCATGCCCTTTCCTGAATCTGACGCCACCTTAGACCTGGGAAAACCGTCACAGCCAGCATGGGGATCCACCACATTCTCTCCATAACAACCGCTTCCATACCTGTGCAACAAAGTGCAGAAGGTTCATCCCAGGCTTGTTTGCTTTGGTGTCTGCCAATTTGAGCAAAGAAGACAGCTTAAATCCTACTGCATTGCCGGCATACCCTCCCTAAAGAAGAAAAATCAAAAGAAAAAATCATATGTTTAGACAGATCAATAGTTAGAAATACAACATTTTAATTTTTTTTGAATTTTACTTACTGCATTCATGATATTTCCTGCCTGTAGCACCAAGTGTAATATGGAATGCAGCTCCTCACATGACATCAGCTCTGTCAAGAAGAACACACACAGTGACTTAGAGAAGCCTCCAGCTGAAATGTAGAAGAGACAGCTACCAGCTACCACATCCAAGTTCAAGGGTGTTGGGAGCAAGCTCTGACCCTGAACTTCATACGAAGACTGTGAAATTAAAGAAAGCAGCACATCCTATGGTGTATCTAATGCAGCATTTGCCACTGGCAATCCACATCCTGGTGGTGAACTGGGAATCAAATATAAGTAATACTTACACATCATAAAACAGTTCAATTATAAATTTATCCCTGTGTTACAGGGATACATTTTCTCTCGGCAATGTTTCTTTTTTTCATTTATATCCACTAGCCTTTGAGACTATATTGATGAAATGTGAAAACTAATAGCGAGCAACATTTTGCTTAGTCGATGAGCTATGAGGAGATAGGAAGTAAACAAGCTGGTATGACATGTAAATAAGGTGCAAAGCATCAACCCTTAGGGGCCAGGCACCCAGAGACTCTTCCTATTTTATTCAAAACTAGACATTTCATTTAGATTGGCTTAAGGATTTAAAAAGCAATTTATCATTGGAATATATTGGTAAACTAGCTCTTTAATCACAGGATCTATTATACACGCACCTACACAAAAAAACACTATTCAAAATTGTTGATGTATTTGGAAGGCTAAAAAAGTTTGATGATTAAAATGACAGTATACACAGAGAATAAAATGTCACCTATGGTATTTTTAAGTTAATATTCTCCATTAAGTCTGGTATTACTTTCCAAAAATTACAGCTGGATCACTGCCTACATTGTGTTATCTAAGGAGGCCAGTTTCTGAAGGGTAACCAGATAAGAAACGTTTGCGCCGTGCCCACAAATTTGCCTGCTCAATACGAAAACATGTTCTCCCATCTCTCTTTGAACAGGAGCAACAACCCTGTTAGAGTTGCTGCAATAGCCTTGGTATAGGAAGAAATTTTAAAAGGACTCTAGGTTGAGAGAAGAAAAAAATCTTCATTCTTAATCTCCTCTCTAAATGAAGAAACTATGATGGGCTGAAGAGCAAAACATTATTTCAAGCCCAGGTCGGAGCAACTAAACGGGAAAACCAACCAGGAATAAACAGTTCTGCACGATAATGAAATCCAGAAAATGAGCAAGAGGGAGTCAGGGGCGCTGATGGTGCTGGAAGATGTGAGGGTCAGGGAGGGCAGGAGACCGCCCGGAGAGGAGAAGGAGGCAAACGCAAATGGGCTGGGCCTGCAATCCCAGGGTCAGCCACGGCCAAAGCCAAGCTCCCACCCATATGGAATGAGACATCAGGGCAGCTCTGAGGAGTCTATCCAAGCTGGGTCAGCAAGAATGTAGCAAGTCGTTCAAACACATGGACATGGGCCACTGGCCCCTCTCAAACTAGTTAGCCAACCAGTGGTTGGAGTCTGGAGGGGAGGCGGTGGGGGCGGAGACACCCTGACGAAAGAGCCGCGTGGACATTCATTCCTGGGAGGAGTCAGGAGGAAAGGGGTGGGGGTTGGGGTGGGGGTGGGGGTCTGATTCCGGAAAGCAGGGTCCTAGACACCAACAGAGGCCAGAGAATGGGAGGAGAGATGGGCTGGGCTGGCCCAGGGCTTGCGCACCTTCTGATTAAACTCAGTTTGCAAACTGGTTTAACAACTGAAGGTATCTCAGTCATTTAAAGGCACACACACCACCGACACACAGCAAGCAAACCTACAAGAGGAACAAGAGTGAGCTGCAAGCAGCGAGGCTGACTCCGAAGCGTGAGATGAAAGAAAGCTTCTCTTACGGGAGGATAATGTGCTGATTAAGTAATCAATTGATTAGTCAGTTAATTAATTAGGGGGGAAGTAACTGTAGATAAACCTTCAATGCCATCCCTGGTCACACCGAGTTCCCTTTTTAGGGTGTATCAGAAATGGGACTTTGCACTTCTAATTTCAACCGAATCATTTTTTAAAATAAACTGCTACCCAAATAAATAAAAACTAATTATACGAAGCATCATGCATTTACTCACCTTGTATAGCCATTCTTAGAATTCTTATATCCGTGTACAGAGAAGAGCAAGAAGGTAAAAACTCCTTCTTTAGCACCATGGCTTCAATCCGAAGCGAATAGCTGAAAAGGAAAAAGTCACACTGTAGTTCTGAGGTCACGCGTTTAAAAACCTTCCTCGGTAAAGAACAGTGATCGGTGGTCCTTACTTTGGCACCTGAATTAAGCAGTGCAGAAAGGAGTCTGCCAGGGACAGCTTGGACACATCGCCATGAAATGTTTTTAATTTCTTTATCTAAAAGACAAATGGGAAAAGGGGGTAGAGAAAAACATAACTTGTGATGAAAATGTAACACGATTTTAAATTGCATCTTAGAATCCCTGCAAGCAAATAGAATTTCGGTGCTACCTTCAAACTAGTAAAAGCGGAGACCTGAGAAAAGACAGAAAGGGAAATCACCACATCTACCACTTTTTGAAAGCAGAAAGACCAAACAACACAAATTAGAAAGAGAGGAGCCGGGTCACTTCTGTGGGTGTAAACAATCCCATGCAAGCCAGAGAGCGGAATCCTCAGGAAGGTTACCAAAAGGAGACTGAAAAGGGGCCGTTCTGAGGGTGAAATGTTTCTCTAAGTTATAACCTGGGAGGGAGATCACTGCTTGGGAGAAGAAAGAAGAGATGGAGTATTCCCTATAACACAGTCCTTAAGTCATAGGTGAAAACAGTCTTATTACTTTTGAGTCTTTGGAATATAACATACTCAGACTGGGTAAGGTCTAAGGCAGATCTTTCTGTGGTCAAGTCCCCTTCACATATATTCACTTTATAGGAAGGGACTATTGTATGTTAGGCGAGTCCACTCTTACTCTCCAGCAGAAAGAAATAAAGGAAAATGGCTTAACAGAAAGATCAATGTTAAGACATCCCCCTATGAAAGAATCAGGTAATAAAAGCATATGCACAATGGGATCCCGTATATATATGATTATATTTTCTTCTGCTGCTTATTTTTATTTTCTAAATTGTCTACAATGAACATGCGTTTTCTTGTAAAAAATTAAACTATGCCCGGCCAGCAGGGCTCAGTGGTTGAGCATCGACCAACCTATGAACCAGGAGGTCACGGTTCAATTCCTGGTCAGGGCACGTGCCCAGTTTGCGAGCTCGATCCCCAGTGTGGGGCATGGGGGAGCGAGCCGATCAATGATTCTCTCTCATCATTGATGTTCCTCTCTCTCTCTCTCTCTCTCTCTCTCTCTCTCTTTCTCTCTCTCTCTCTCCTTTTCCCTCTTAGAAATCAATAAAAAATTTTTTTTAAAAAAAAGTAAGCTGGAAATTATTAAACACACAAATATTCTTTCAAATGTAGGAGAGAACTAAGAGTTCGGACATAGGAATGTAGCCAAAAAACTTGGCACGTGCGGATGGAGGGGAAAAGGAAGTTCCCCTCTACACCAGAGAGCGAGTCATGCCTTCCCCACACAGAACACTGGACCAATCTGGGGGCAATAGCCCTTCTCCATCCACTGGGTCTTCCAACAAAAACACTTGACAGTAAGTAGGGCCTTCAGACATAGTCAGCCCATCTTTGCAGCTAATGGTAGCCAGGGAGCACTCACCACTTTTTATTAGTCTTCATAAAGCTTTCTCTCTTCCACCTCTTGGATTAAGTTGGCTGCCCATAAAAATAACGTGATTCTTAAGCCTCTTTAAAAATTAGGGAATGATGTGCAAAAACACAGAGGGAGTATTTGCAAAGGTCCACAAACTGAAACACTTACACCAATTCCCTGAAGATACAAAATGTGACAGTGTAGATGCACATCCTAGAATTGAGTCTGGTCCTTAAGACCACATCTTTTTCTTCTAACGGACAGAAAAATTGCCATTTATAGAATGGCACTATTTCCCCTACCTTTAGGGCCCCAACGTGATTTTTACAATTTTTTGGCCTTACTAAATGAAAGGGCAGATGGAATCTCTGGTTTAGCTAAGCCCAAATCAGAGGCTTGTTTCTGAGCTGAGAAAGCTATGGTAAGAATTCTGATCCCTTCCGAACTGGTCTCACAATTCACTATATATGGGCAGGGCAGAGCGAGACCTCATATGCAGCACGTGCAAATAACAGCAGTTTTCTGTCCAAAGCCTAAGAACAGGTCATGCTAAGTCATCTCGGTCGATATTTCTATTAGACATGTGCTAAACTGTAACTGAACAAAGACTAATCTCCTTCACTTATGTAACGAGCTAACAATGTTTAGATTTCAAGAGAACGGTGATGAAAAGATAGTATTTGATTTAAATGCCCTGTGTACAGTTCTTAACTCCATTCCAAAACGGGATTTATGTTCATTAAGCGGGATTACGGTACCTTCACAGTGGCAGGGAGGTAAGAAAAAGAGAGGTGAACCAACCCTATAATTATTATGCATTCTCATCACCATCAAAAAGCATTTATCAAACATCGTTAGGCACGATGCTGTTGGCTGAGCCAAGTGACTCTCATTATGACCCGGCTACACGGTGCTGTCCTCATAGCAAACAGAATGCTCCTTGAGACTCACACATTCCCAGGGGCAGGCCTCCTTCATCCCGTCTAATTCCACTCCCATGGCCTTAAAAGAGCAGGATTTCCCACCCACACACCAACAGAAGATTCTGGAGCTCCCCCACTGGCACTTCCCTCCCAGGGGCAGAGTAAACAAAAAGGTAGAAATGAGGTGATAGTGTCAGAGGAGGCCATTCAATCTGCGCCCAGAAAGGACAGAACTTTCCTATCACCTTCCAGTCCTGCACCCCCAACACTGAGGCGATGACAGGGTACCCGCCCCAGCCGAGGGAGGGCCTTGCCAGCTGGGTGGGGGTCCTTCCCCGGCCCACCTGGCTCCTACTCCAGCCTCCTCTCAGGGCACAGGGATACCTGACAGAGAGCACAACCCTCCAGTTCTCTCACGTCCAGGTCTACCTTCTTCCTCTGCAAGTTTTAACCACGAGTTTCAGGCAAGATGAACAAACATGCCAGACAAAAGATTTGTGGCAAAGGGCAGAGGAATCCTGAACACAAATTAACCTTGGGTTGGCTTGTCAGCTGAGAATGCAGAGGAGAAAAGAGCTCTTTCCGTTCATATTTTTCCGCCTGCTGATAAGATCGCGGTGTTATTTGGGTGACACTCACACCCGTACTGTGTGACAGCACAGGTGATGAAAAGGCCGGGAGGCCTCTGAGAAACTACTGAGAACCTCTGCCCTTCCTTCCTTCCTTCCTTCCTTCCTCCTAGTGCAGCCCAAGGAACTGCTCTGGGGTCAGATGAATCAGAGTTCAAGTCCACCTTCCTCCGGGGCCTGTCCATCATGTGGCACTGGACACGTTCTACCCAACCCATGTGAGCCTCAGTTTCTCACTGGTAAAATGAGGACTATCTTACATTGCTGTGAGGATTAAGTGAAAAAGGTGATACACTAAATCATTACAGCAATGATTTACTGACTGTCTATGTGCCGGACACTGGGCCACGCGCTTGAAATGCAGGATCTCGCTTGGTTGAATGCTGCCCTGTCCAGTGCCTGGGACACAGTGGCACTCAACAAACATGTAGTCCCTTCTTGTGCTAAAAATGAGCACAGAAGGTTATGCCACAGGCTCAGCAACATGCGGTTACTCGTACACTTCCGCACTTATTAGCATATTTCTGCCACATTCCTAAACCTCTCTCACTTGGCCCTGTCTCCTCCTTGGCCTCGTCTCCATCCTCCACCCTCCTCCAAAGACTCTAGGGCTGGCCCTGGGTCTGGGTGGTGCCAGAGGCCACACAGCTCTCACGACTAAAGCTAATCTGACCTTGCAGCGGGCATGGGTCATGAGGTGGCTTTGGCTTTCACTGGGCCTCCCGCTGCCAGCACAGATCCCCCGGAGTGCTGCACTGTCAGGGAGGGATGCCAAGTGACACCCAGCAGGACTGTCAGGGTGTTCCTGCTGAAGGAAGCTCCCAGTTGAGTTTGGAGGGTGTGGTGAGCTGAAGCCAAGAGTCAGTAATGTAAACAAGGGGGAGAGTGACCAAGCTGGTCAGATATTCACATGGAGGATGACCCTGCAGCAGGAGGGTGGTGGGAGAAACAGCTGGGCCTGGCTCAGGGGCTGGGAAGGCAGGATTCCACGGCCAGGCCAGAGGTTAGCTAACAGTCTGAGGGTGAGAGAGCGCCTGGGGACTCAGGAAAGCCTTGGGTGGGTTTTATTCATCTTGCCCTTAACTTTCCTCCCTGTCAATTATATCCCACACACAACTCAAAAAAACAGCTTTTTAAAACATGAGCAGTTTGACAGCTACATTGCTTCTTTGAAAAATCCCTTAGTCTTCCACAGCCTTTGCATTCCCGAATCACCTTTGATTTTTAAATTAGAAGATATTAAGAAAGCCACATGTAATCTCCCACATCTTCGTGGCGTGAAGACAGCAGCCTCCCTCATGCCTGACTTCTGTTTAGTGAGAAATTTAGAGCTTTTCAGAGCACTTTCACTTGTGCAATCAAATCTGACCCTCACTTAAAAACGGTCAAGGTCAGTTAGGAGTGGGTACCAGAGCAGTGCTGAGGAGGAGTCATGAAAAAAGCCCAAGCAGGATTAAGATATTGAGAAAAACTAAATCTTCTTTAAAACCCAAATTAATTCAACCATATTCATCCTCATTTTAAAATTTGGGAACTCCCATTTTCCACATAAAAGAAAAATTAGAGTGTTCAGCAAACAAGATCTGGGTAAGTGATGATTTATTCTTCCTTTTTCTCAATATTTTAAGACCCTTTTATTAACATTAATAAATCCTATTAATTAATCTTGGCTAAGATAAATTATACTTAACTTTAAAACAGAAAACCCAGGATAGGGAGAGGCTGAGATTATTAGATGTATCTAGAATGTCGAGTTACTCAATAAGACTCTCGATTTGGCATTGTGAGTTTATCACTGATGTAAAAAGTATAAATACGTTTATCTTATTGTTATTAATGGTACTAAAGTCAAGTTCCACCTATGCTGTGTGGGAAGAGGAGTGGGATGGGAGAGGGAGGAACTGCAGTATGTGTAAAAGGGTAACATACCTTTTACTTTATAAGACTATTATTATTCAAATGTTTACAAGCACAGATATTCATGTATTTCTTTTAGATTTTTTTCAAAGGTCACTTCTTCAGAAATAAAAGACAATATTAAAATTTTGGGAAGTTTTACAAAATTATTTTTCTGTTTTCTTTTCTATCAAGCTCCTAACCATTCAAAAAGTCAGTGAATTCAGTCCAAAAAAAAAAAATCGATAACTTTATATTGTGGCACTACATTGCTATCACAGCAATCTCCAACTTTCTGTCAATTATATAGACAACGTTCATTAACATTTACCTACCTTCCCAAATTTTAGAGCATCTTTATCCTAAAGTGGCTTACTTTGTCTTTACTTTTTTTTAAGTATACACATTATAAAACAACCCACGTACACCCTCAGCAAAGATCATCCGCCAGATGATGGGAAATGGAATTAAAATGTATTGAGCTTCCACGTGCCAAGTACCATGTCAGATGCATAACTACCGTTTCATTATCTTCACTATCCAATGAGGTAGCATCATAGCCTCACTTTACAGGTGAGAAAACTAAAGTTCATGGGAGTTAGGAAAGTTGCCCAAGTTTCTCAATTAAGGGTAGAGCTCTAATTTAAACCTAGGTTCTCTAACCCCATAACCCATGCTCTTTCACTGGGTCACTTAATTTTATGTGAGAAAACTGACTCTGGGTAGGAGAGTTCCCTTCCCATGTGATTTTTGACATTCCTACAAATATTAAGCTTTTATCATCACTCCTAACATCTAAAACTCACACGCCAAATTTCTTACCTCCTCTGACTCTGGCAACAGTTTAAGAAATTCTCGCAATGTCTCTGCTCCATAATGCTCACTCTTTCCTTGATGAATATCTTCTACAATGGACTGAGGAGACCTTGAAAAGACAATTAATCAGATTCTGCCAAAGAAACACAAGCCCGTGGAAATTAAAACAAATCACCTCCACCCTCCTTTCCATCCCGCCTGCTTCCCAGTCTAACAGGCAGTTGTGTGTCAGTGATCACCACAGACCCGCGGCCAGGAAAAGTGGAGATCCTGAAACACCACTCAGAGGCCACTTCACCCAGAACCGCCCCCCCGCACCCCCACCCCAGGCATCCCAGAAAAGTCAGAGTGGCAACGACCATTGGAGTCTCCTTTTGGGAGAAGAAAACCATCCCCTTCGGCCTCATGAAACTCCAGTAGAGCCCTCGACTTTGCACCCTGGACTTCACTACTGCTTGACTCACCAGCCCAACTTCCACTCAAGGGGCAACACTGCAGATGAATTTTATAAACTCCCTGACATACCAGGCTTGAATGGCATCCTGGGGTAATTCTCCCTATTTCAAGCCACTAGATTGGGATTTCATGAGGAAAACAGCATAAAGTGCTGGACCCATCAAAGCCATGTGCCTGAGAAGGATTTGAAGGCCTGAGGAATGGTTTTCCCTCATGTTAGAATCTGAATTTCAGCTCACACCCACAGACTCTGATGCTCAAGTTTCAACTGTGTGCAAAAATCTTACTTCTTAAATTGCTTAAGAAATATCCCAATGTTCATGCTCCGTTTTGCATCCAAGATAGTAATCTGTAAAAAAATAGAGACACATAAGATCATTCAAGTACAAATAATAACAGTTGGAGGAATGAAGAGAATGAAAACCTATTAAAATATAATTCCAATTTATAAGAGAATAATTCCCAGTGTGTAAATCTAGTGATTAATTGATATACCTAATATAGTTTTACATATAGTAAAATGTTATCATCTCCCCAAACTTTCTGCAATATGTTTCCTTAATAGTAATAATTACACATGATATTATATAATTCTTAATAAATTATATATTTTTAAATTTAGCAGCTTCCTTTTAAAATAATATAATCCACATTTAAAAGCCTTAACTTGGAAAAAATGTCTTAGTATAGCAAGAATCACATGAGCTTTGAACTAAGAAAGTAAAAAATAATTCTGAAGTGATTTCAGAGTGAGTCCCAACTCTGATTTAGGGATAGAAAACAATATTTAATAAAATTCTTAACTTTTTTCTAAAAGAGAAATTTATTTTCATTGAAAAAGAATATATATGTTCAACAGCCCTTTTAGGAGGAGGTAAGGAAGTGCCCTACATTTTATTTACTAATAATTTAAAAAGGAAAACTCTTGTGATGTATTTCACCAAGTTGAAGACATATTATTATTTTTTTGGCATTTTAACATCTCTGGAATCATCTTTAATTTAATGAAATATGTTGGCTATTCCAATGTACCATGAAAACCCAGATTTGGGCTGCAATAGGTTTTAGTTGTTCAAAATGAATAATTTGGAAGAGTTTTTATCAGATTACAAATTAGAACTTTTTTGGTGGGGGATAAAATAACGAAGCCGTTTCTTTCTCTGGAAGTAAATGTCCAGAATGTGTGGAGGAAAGAGAACCTTAAAACTGCTGCATTTTTTTCCATTTGTTTTTTTGGTAAAGGGAGACTTGCTAAAATAGGAATGTTGTTATAATGCTCTTCCTTTCCAAATGTATGTGATTCATTGCGAACAAAAGAGAATCGGGTTTCAAATTAAATTCCTGATCTCTGGGCCTGCTTCTAAGTGTATAGGAAACAGCAAGACTAACAAGAATGTTAACCAAAGTTAATGGCACTTCCTGGCTATAAGGTTAAATTTTTACAAGAGTATGGTTGCCTTCATTTCAACACTAATCTTCAACAATCACATTATTTACTATCCTAGGGGTTTATTTCATGTTAACACAATCACCTGCCAACCATAAAATAAACTCCCAAGTTAAAAGGGCCAGCTCCTTATTGGAATCCTACCCTGGGGTTGCAGTTCAAGTTCAGGGTGAAGGGAGGGGGGGAGAGGGAGGGAAGAAAGAGTGGCAAGAGAAAAACCCAAAAACCTGTCAAAGTTATCACCCTTTAAGGAGGAAGGCTCATACCAAAAAGATATTATGACAGACAACTATGTGTTTATTATAATTCATAAATTAACGAGTAAGAACATGTATATTGATTGATATCCAAAATACTTTCTCTGTACTCACTTCCACCCAGAATGGGGAAATACCTTTTTTTATTTCTCTCATTAAATTACCACCTCCTGCTATATTTAACCCGTGATGGTGGCACCCTCCTGGGTCCCCAATACCCCAAATCCACCCTCATCATCTTCACCCTTCAGCCCTCTGGGACTCTGCACACTTGGCTGAGATCCACAGCTATTGTTGCTGAAAAAGTGATGGAGACATTAGTCTTATTACTCCTATTTACCATATAAGGAAACAGAGCCTCGGCGATGTCATTTTTATAACTTCCCCAAAGCAATACTAGAACTGAAACGTTAGCCTGGGTGTATCGGCTTCCTTTTCACTCTAGTTCTGGTGAGTTTTAGTATCACTGAGATACAGGAGTAAAGAGAACTGGCAAATATTCCCCCTCCAGCCTGGTATTCACACTGGAATATTTCTCCAGAAATGGGGACAGATCTGAAGAAAGCCATCCACGGGGTTGGCCAAGTCCCCTGGTGACCCCAGTTGTATGTGTGGGGTGATGGGTAGAAATGTCACCAGCTAAGACTGCCTCCAGGCACAAAGAGGCTTCCTTATGCCCAATGCAGGGGCAGCCAGACTGGAACAGCAGTTGTCTACAGTCTGAAGCAAGGCTTCAGAAACTGGCCCGAGAGAATTCAGCAATATTCCTAAGGGAAACCTGGGTTGGTCATGACTGACTGCACCCACCAGGGAAAACAGCCCAGTGCCTCATCAAAAAAACAGGAAAATGAGACAACTGATAACGTTCCAGGGCCCGCTCCCCCCTCCCCCCCCCACCCGGGGCGGTATCCTCAGATTTGCTGAGTGCACAAGCAGTGTCTTTCCCACTGGTTATCTCACTGGATCCTTCCAAAGCAGTGTTATAAAAGTGTTTGTTAAAGTCCTTCAATGAGGGTTATCACTATCCATGTAAATTAGCTTATCTTACTTCCTAAATTCTTGCCAGCTCAAAAGGCTGGGCTATTCAGAAATGAATGTGTGTGGGACTGCTGGGGTGGTGGAATCATTCACAGCCATGGACTCTACCCGTGGGCCCCCCGTGAGACTCTCAGGCTCCACAGGTCAGACCAACTGCTCCAAGAAAAGGGAAGAATCGATGGGTCCCTCCCTCTCCCCACCAGTTCCAGTCAACTGTATCTACGCCGCAGCACATGGAGGCAGGGCTCTGCTCAAGTCACCAGCAGGTACAGCCAGCAAGCTTCCTTAAAGGCCAACCAAGGAGTTACACCATCCCTGGCCAACAGGTAATGTGCTCAGCTCCTCCCATCCAGAGGATGTCCCACCAGGATGTGAGGGGACTTGCGGGAAGAGCAGTCTCCCCACAGTTGGCCAGGGTGGCTGGGGTTGTCCTAAGACCCTCAGAGACACTGAAACCAGGGTACATACTGGGTGCCCCACAATGATGTGCATGGCTACACCACGGCCCCTGTTAACACCTCTGCGTAAGCTCTCCTAGGTTCCTCTACTACAACGCGTGTACTTTCACCTAGTGTCACGTCACTACAAAATCTGCCTCCCATATTCTCAAAAGGAAGAGGAAACGTTTGTTTTCTAGTGGTAGTGAAAGACACATAACATTATTGACCATCTTAACCACTTTCAAGTGTACAGTTCAGTGGCATGCAGTACATTCACACTGTTGTGCAACCATCATCACCATCCATCCACAGAACTCTTCAACTTGCAGAACTGAAACTCTGGACCCATTAAACCCTAACTCCCCTTATCCCCTCCCCCTCTCCTAGCAACCACCCTTCCACTTTCTGTCCCTAGGAGTTTGACCACTCTGGGTACCCCATGTAAATGGAATCGTATCCTATTTGTCCCTTTGCGACTGGCTTATTTCACTTAATATAATGTCTTCAGGCAGAAGAAGAAAATTTTAAATCATTTTTGGTTATTTCAATCCTATGTCAAATTCTGAAAAGCAAAATTTTAAAAATCGTCCTGAATGCTCCGATACGTATTTAGCTTTGGGTTTTAATGGTTTTTCATTTTTGGTTGGCTTTCACGTGGGAAATATTCCTCCCCCAATATTGCTGGGGAGGGAAATGAAAACCCAGTTGAAGCTTTGCTTTTAGTCCCCTTTCAATATAGTTCTGGACTAAGCATGTCCCAGAATTCTACAATATACTGGGGTCGGAACAAAAGTTGAGAAAGAATGACTGAAACCTGAATTACAGTGTGGGAGAATAAAACATGACTTCTCATAAATGTGAAAAACCAATCTTCCGTCTTATTTTCTCTCTCGCCATTCCTCTTTCCCCAATTTGAGATTTTAGTTAGGTTTCCCCCATCTAGCTTATGAACACATCCATCACCTCACATATTTATCTTTTTCTCTTTTTTTGTGAGAACATTTAGCAAATTTCAGTTTTTCAATACAGTGTTAATCAACTGTAGTCACCATGTTCTACGTGAGATCCTCAGACCTTATTCATCTCACAGTGGTTTCTTTGTGACTCCCAGTTTGGACCTATCATGTTGACTGACACCTTGTAAGATGGTCCCTTTGCTCCCTCGGTTCAGTTCTGTCAGCTCAGTTACTTTAGTTTCTCTGAAGGACACCAAATGGGTAAGACTGTTCCTTTCCTCAAGAGAGTTTCCTATTCTAGTGAGAGACAAGTACAGACCCAACAACCAGTGTGGGGCTCTGAGGAGGCTGAAGTTCAGCTGAACGGGGAACTTCTCAGGGGTGAGATCAGCGAGCTTGGGGGGGTAGAGGGGGAGGTAGAGTTTGAGCTGAATCTTTTTATTATTATCACCAGTTATATAAATCTGTTATGTCTAATTACTTTATTATAGCTTAATTATTATTGTGACATCTGTAGCCTCCTCAAGTTAATTTTTTAGGTAACAAAGATACAAGGACAGTAGTAATATGTCATAACCTCTTCCCCCTTATTAAATATTCCACTTCACTTGTTAAGTGTTATTCTTCCTTAATTCAGTGATTTCTAGCCCCAGGTCTTCCCTATCTTCCAACAACTTCTTCCTTTGGAGTATAATGGAACTTATTTGTAAGGCTTTCTAAGCCCTTGAAAGTATGAGCCAACCACATAATGGCAGGCCATTGCTGTAGGAGGTGCCTGTTATTTCCAGGGGACATAACCTGATCCTCGGCACGTTTGAGCCTCCAGAGTTATGGGCTGTGTGGTCACGGCTGGGATGCCATGTGTCCAGGCTTGGATGGGTCCATCTGCTCAGCATGCTGTGGAGGGAGTTCTCCAGTCCACACAGACAGGCAGTGAGGACTACCACTGTCAACCCTGGGCTTCACCTACTACAGAGTGAACTGGAACTTTTAACACTGGTCCTTGTTAGACTACCACTCTGCTGAGTTGTAGCTGCTTTAGAAGAAAATCTAATGAGGGAAGAAAATCACACGTCCTGTATTCTTTACTGGGACAAAAAAAAAAAGAGTACGTATGATACATCTAGCCATGTTGGAGACAGCATGGAAAATTGAAAATAATTCTGGATAACCCTGTTCTGTGACAATGTTATGTAATATGCACTTATCTATCCATCTACTAAACTACTTACCCTACCTGAGTACTGAAGAACTGAAGAGTTAGGCTGTTTGCTTACACAGTGATGGTGATTTAACTTTTCTTTCTAGTATGCTGTCTCTCAGATTAGGACCTATAAGTGTTAAAAGTAAAGCTATTTGCAAACCCATGTTCATAACAGCATTATTCACAATAGCCAAAAGGTGGAAGCAACTCAAGTGGCAAATGTGGTGTATGCCTACAACGGAATATTATCCAGCCTTACAATGCTGACACGCTACCACATGGAGGAACTTCGAGGACATTATGCAAAGTGAAATGATACAGTCACAAAAAGTCAAATACTGTGCAATCACACTTATATAAAGTACCCACAGCAGTCAAATTCATAGAGAAAGTAGAAGGGTGGTTGCCAGGGACTGGGAGTTCCAGTTTGCAAGATGAGATTTCTGTGGATGGATGGTGAGGGTGGTTACACAACAGCGTGACTGTCCCAGTGCCACTGCACTGTACACTTGCAAATGATTAAGATGGTCGATGTATATTTTACCACAATTAAAAAGATGATTATTCAGAGACAGACAACAGTATGGTGATTATCAGAGGGAAAGGGGGTGGGGGAGGTAGGAGAGGGTAAAGGGAGGATAAGTGGTGATGAAGGAGACTTGACTTGGGGTAGCGGATACACAATACAATATACAGATGGAGTATTATAGAATTGTACACCTGAAACCTATATCATTTTATTAACCAATAAATTCAATAAAAGATAAACATAACAACTAACTAGCTAAATAATTATTCACTTTCAGGTGTTTTATTTTTTAAGTTAAAGGAAAAAAAGTAAAGATGTTCCTCAGATATAGGGGTGAAGGGGGGTGAGGAGAAAGACTCTTCTCTCCCACCCACCTGAATTTTAGACCTGGCCTAGAAATGGACATTTCTGCTTCTGCCACAGGTGGGAAAAGACGCCACACTCCCTGCCACTCTCTTCCCGCTCTGAGAGGTCCTTAACCTCTCTCTGATTCACAAACACAAAGCAGCAAGTGCCTCATAGCATTTGGCAAAATAAATGTCCCCAATTTACAAGGGCCAGCCGCCTCCCCAGAAACATGGTGAGCCGAACCCCCTTCTGTTTCCACAGGTGCTTTTCGGAGACATCACCTTTTCTCCACATGCGCCCACCCACTCTTTCCTTTAAAATTCTTGAAATTCAGTAAGTGGAGCTCAGAAACAGGGGTGAGAAACGACCTGCTGTGCATTAAGAAGCCTCTGCTGGCGGCAGGGACAAAGGCCAGGGGACTTAGGAAATGACTTCTCGCTTCTTCCAGGATTGAAAGGGTCTGCGGCGAAGTGCAAGGACTTTGCATAAGGCAAAGAGCAGGGGAAACCTGTGCTTCACACTCAGGGTTTTCCTGAAGACTTCCTCTCAAATGCATGTCACAGCTTACAGTAAATTCAAATCCCAGCGTTCTCCACACTTTATAATAAACAGACTCTTGGCTATTTCAACAGGGCACCATGCCACCAGCCTCAAGGGCCCCCAAGGGGATTCGTGGACAGAAGTTAAGAGCCAGAGAGAAAAGAGGTCAATATTGTCGGCTCGAGAATTCAATAATGCAGGGAGCTGCTACTTCATTCCAGAGCCCTGCCTACTCTTATCTCACACCTCCATCTCTGACCTATTTTCTCAGCTCCCTTACAGCAGATTAAAAAATGATGCATTTCTGTTACTTTTTTTTTTTTTTTTGGTGGGCGGCATTCTTTTCTTTTAATCCCTGGTTTCCTAATTATTTCCTCTTGCAAGTAGAGGCTTTTACATGTTTACTCGAGTTTCTACAGAGAGAATGAACAAACACTCAGTTTCTATAACATAGAGTGGCCTGTATCCTGGAGGCCACGCTTCCAGTGAACTTCTTGTAATTTGCTAGCTTTATTTTCTTCTCAAAGTATCACACCGCGTGTTACCTGGAAATACGCTTCCTAGAAAGTCTATCTGAAAACAGCTTTACGCTTTGGCTCTCTGGAAATCTCTGGTCCACAATGGCCATAATTCAGGGCCTTCGCTAAACACCGTGCAAGGAAAACGGGAGGAAACACTAAGGATAAAACCCTAAGGAACAAAAGGCATGCTGTCTCAGAAAGCTCCAGCTGATCGCAGAGGCCTGCGCTCAGGAACTTAGGATCTGTGTCTGTTTCACTGGAGACGAGTAATCCTGGACTCCTCGCAGAAGTGCTCCACCAGGAGAAACCGCAGATGTGCAGAGACAGGGCAGCGCTGAGAAGCCAAGGACGATGGCCCCACAGAGCATGTTCTCTGCATGAGGTCATAATCCACCGAGATGCCTGGGAGGGTCCGGCATGCACGCTCCTTCCACTTTGTTACTGCTCAGCTCAAGTTCATCATGTAAGGCCCTTTCTGTCCTTCCCAGAGCACAACATTCCCTTGCCTTATGTTCTTTCCTTTTTTAAAAAAATAATATATTTTTGTTGATTTCAGAGAGGAAGAGAGAAGGAGATAGAAACATCAATGATGAGAGAGAAGCATTGATTGGCTGCCTCCTGCTCACCCCACACTGGGGATCGAGCCCGCAACCCGGGCATGTGCCCTGACCAGGAATCGAACCATGACCTCATGGTTCATAGGTCGATGCTCAACCACCAAGCCACGTCAGCTGAGCCTTATGTTATTTCTTAGTGATTCTAGTAAGTTTTCAAACGTATGTACACCCCCAAACTCAAAACAACGTCCCCTTCTTACCTCCTCTCTCGCTTCCTTGAAGGACGAATTTAAAGATCCTCCTCTCCTGGAAAGGGAAGGCTTGGTGGCATCTTCCTGCTGCCCGAAGAGCTCCTCGATGGTCTTCGTGTCTATTTGGTATTGATGCTGCTGCTTGGCTGCCAAGGTCCAGATGTTGGTTTTGCCTCGCACTTGCTCCTCCGGAATGGTTTTCCAAAAGAAGCTTCTCATCCGCTTTTTCTTACCGAGGTGGCTGTAGCCATTCAAGTGAGATGCTGGGGGCAGTTCTGGAGGGGGAGGAGGGACTGGAGGCCCCCCGGGGAGTGCATGTGGTGGGGGAGGGGGAAGAGAGGGAGCAAACCCTTCCTCTGAATATGGACATGGTGGAGGTGGAGGGGGTGGAGGAGGAGGAGGCGGCGGGGGCGGTGTTTCCTCAATCATGAATCCAGCTGCTGTGGCGATAGTCCCATTTTCTTTATCACTGACCAAGGAGACACAATTCATAACATGCATAGTACTGTTGCCTTCCAAGGAGATAATTTCTTGACCTTGGGGACGCAGACACAAACCTCAAACTTGTGTCATGCTTTTTCACGCGCTGGTCTGCCACCAGGGACAAAGGCAGCTGCGTTGTGTGTCATCTTCCAAACCTACAGAGATAAGACAAGTTTAAAGTCAGTACAGGAAAACATTCCAATCCAAGCTATTCTCATCAAAGGCCTGTGCCAGCCTTCCTAGAGTAACTGGATATGAAAATACATCCCAGAGAGCAATAAAAAAGGGACTAATACTTTTCTAAAATGTGAACCAAATTTTACTACCTGGAAATGTTGCCAAAACAGCAGCAATAAATCCAACTTGGAAAACTTCTGTTCATCAATAAAACACATTTGCTGAGGACCCACTATAGGTTCAACCAGTATTGCTCACTTTATGAATAAACTACTTGTTCATTACCTGGCTCAGTGTCGTGGGACAATGGATACCCAACCCCCAGGGAAATTATGCACAAGACTGCAGCGTTAGGCATTAGTGACCTGCCTTTCCCCAGTGTGGATATGTCCTCTACCGATCACCTTGCACATAATAGGCAGGGATCTGCTGAGGATAAAATAATGGCCGAACTCACACCCCTGGAGTCAGAGCCACCACGTTCCTGCTCCACTTGGTGACATGGCTTCCCAGAAAATAGAGCAAACACTAGACACGCAGATGAAAGGTTCCAGCTCTGAATCAAGCTTTGCTGCTTACCGTTTTAGACAAGTCACTTCACCTCACTAGACTTTAGTTTCTCATTTGTAAAATTAGGAGGCTGGGATACATTACATGACCTCTACTATCGCTTCCGATGCTATCACTTTGGATTCCAGTTAAGCCACTCTCTGGAAGCCACCAGAACCTCTCCCCTGTCTCTTCTGCTTCTTCCGAGAACTATCAGCAAAGACACAAACACACAAGGAAATGCTGCCGTGTCACACCTGCCACACGCTGACCCCTTATCCACAGTCACCGACTTATTTTAGTGGCTTGTATTTTTACCGACCTTTACATGTTTGTTTTGGGGTTGGGTTATGGACCTGATGTGAAAACAGGGGTCAAAACAACTACATTTCTTCAGATATAAGGATAGGTAAGTGGGAACGTGGAAGAAGGGAGCCCGGGCAGGATACGGAGTGGGCACCTGACCACGTGGGTGTATGAAAGGGGGACTGTTTCCTCCAGGTCATAAAGGGCCAAAGGGAAGGCCTTTCAGACTGGACTTCTGAGTGTAATTGTTCTCGTACAGCATCACTGTCAAAGCTCACACTTACACATTGGTCAAGCAATGCTGCGTTACACAGGAGTAAACTGTCTGATATCACTACTTCAAATATTGTTAAACTTTTTACTCAGAACCACATCCAAGAGGCAGGACTGCCGCCTGGCCTGTGTGGTTCAGTTGGTTGGGCATCGTCCCATGCACTGAAAGGTTGTCAGTTTGATTCTTGGCCAGAGCACATGCCTGGGTTGTAGGCTCCCTCTCACATCGATATTTCTCTTTCCCTCTCTTCCTCTCTCTCTAGCTTATCACCATTCAATTTTAAAATCTTTAAAAAAAAAATTTTTTTAAAGCAGGTTTGCCTTGGAAGTAAGAGTGGAGATTCCAGAAATAGGCTGCTTTTCCTCAGATCCTTAGATGTGCAAACTAGGGTGAGGCAGGTTACTTACCCTACGTTTCAACATCCTCTTCTATAATATAAGGATATACCGTTTCACTGGCTTGTATAAGAATATATGAACTAATATATGGACAGTCCTTACCAAGATGCCTGTATATAATTAACTATTATTATCAACTGGTGTCATATGTTCATATGATTTCTCTTTACTTCCCCAGGCATTACATTTGCTTTAAAATATGTACTGGGTTTATAGATAAAATGCTCAGGCTGCTAGAAACCTTTAATATTTCCATTCTCTGCTTTCTTAGTTACTAGGTTTCTGAGATTTGTCTTTTTTTAATACTCAGTGATTGTGTATTAAATTATCTCTGTCAAGAATGGATGTTTTTCTGAAATGTTTGAATATTTAGATTCTGAAAATTACATATGGCTAGAAAATAGCATTTCCAACTGTTAACTGGATGATTCTTTTAAACCATTTTTACATTAAGTACACTCACAGTGTTGTGTAGTCATCACCACTGGATAATATTTTAGAAAGCAAAACTGAAAATATTTATCCAAGCCAACTTACAGCTCACTTGAGATGCAACTGGCTCTTAAAAGGAGTTTTCATAATTATCATTAGGGGCATAACCAGGCTGTTTTCATAGTTGGCACCCCTAAAGCAAATGACTCATTGTCAATTACAGTTTATAGTTATATTTGAACTCTTCTTTTTTCAAGACTGCACAGGTAATCTTGGCAGTTTATTCTTACATATTTTAAAATACTTCTGTACATGATATATCTCATGTATAGAAGAGTTCTAATCCTCCAATTCACTAATTATGTATAGAAGAGTGGCTAACCCTTCAATCCCAGATATGCTGACTTGTTTATAGATTATCCCTGCTAAGAATGATAATAAGCTAAAAAAAAGTCTCTATCCTAGAAAGCAATAACTCATCCAGTGCTGAGTAAATATATGCACAGATGTGCCATTAAACCTCACATAGCAAATGTAAAGATACTAATAAAGAGTGAGAAAGACTATCTACCCGGAAGTTATGCTACGGCACTATCTTCCAATACCAAAGCTCCAAAGAATGCATGTCTTTCTGAGTATTACGAGTTACACGGGGAAGTACCAGATAAAAGCTTGTCAAAGTAATAAATAAGTTAGCGATGCATTGGCGTGATTCCAACCACTGCCCCATCTTGAGAAAGAATGCCATCTGAAAAAGCTGAAAGAACAAAAGAAAACTTACAACATTGTTCCTGGGATGTTGTCTGGCTAATTTTTCCCCACGGTAACATACAAGAATCTTAGGCCCCCCCAACGGCTTCCAATGAATACGTTGTCCAGTAATGATTAGCCAAGATGCTAAGGCTTTTACAACTGGCGTCAATAGGGCTTCCTCCCTGGCCCGGACTTCACATGTCAGACAGAGGTAGGGGAAAGACAGTGCAGACAGACATTCTAACCCTTTCCACCGTCTCAGGGGACATTAGAACAGGAGGACACACAAAGAATATTTAATTTCCTGTGGTGCTATCTACAGTCAAGATGCAAACATACACGCTCTAAGTCTGCCGGGAGAACACAGGTACCCTAAAGACACTGGCTGTTGATCATGGCTGCTGACTGCCAGGAGGGGCAATAGAAATAAATGACCTCGCTCTGTCTGGAAAATGTCAAGCATCCATCAATCTCCCCTGGGCAGACAGACAGGCTTGTATCGCAGCAGCAGGGAGGGTGGCTGCTCCGGCTGAAGATGCCCCGCTCTGAGTAAAATGGAGAGCTGTCGTGGCCCGGCTAGGAAGAGAACTTCTCTTTAAGTCCCCGAGTGCTAATCAGGACCCAGCACAGGTGTGTCTGAGTGATAGGCGCTCTTGGGGAGGCTGTATCTTTTTTACCACGTGAATTTTTAATAAGGGGACACTGCACCCATGGTCTTAGCGCTTAGCCGCTAGCTGATCAGCAAGCAAAAAGTCTTAGAACGAGCACGCTCATGGGGTCTCCAAAGAAGCTCTCTGGCCCCTTTCTAAACGCTCCTGCCTAAAACAGCCGCATTAGTTTGCTGTTGGTGTCAGAAACGTAGTCAAAGCTCTATTCCCTTGAAGAGAGTGGGCGGGAGGGAAGAAAAGAGAGTATGTATGCTTCATTTTGGCATATTTAGTGGGAAAACGGGCTCCTGAGAGAGTTAAGAGCTCGGAGCTTTCCTGAGAGAGGGGTTAGTGGGGCTTGTTGCTCAGCTGGCCACTCACCCCCTAGGACGGTCAACAATCATCAAAAGGAAAGCCAAGGAAAGCCCACACCAGAGAGCCTTCCCGCTGGATTCCTGACATGTGTCACAGATGAGGTGGGAGCAGGAAGGGCTGGCCCATACCCTTCGGATGACAAACGGCGATGGAACATGCCAGGCTTGGCGAGAAGAGGCAGAGAAGCCCAAGGCCCTAGTTTATCTGGGGGGGAAGAAAGGCCAGGGAGAGTACAGGCAATTCTAAAACAGGGAATTTTTGCTCCCCACGAACTGATCGGGAAAAGGCTCCTCCCTGGGCCTATCTTTCCATACCTTTACTACACACAGAATGTCCACCACACAGGCGAACCGGAGCTGGCAACGAAGGCCCGAAGGCCGTTTCCAGCCAGCGAGTGTCATGTGCAGCACAACACAAACAGTTCACGGGTG